TTTGTCTGAAGAGGTGTAGGGTTTCCTGCCTAGGCAAGGGGGTTGGACTAGAAGACCTCAAGGTCCCGTCCAACTCTGTTATTCTATTCTATTCTAAATTTGTTCTCTGGGACTCTTCTCAGCTAGGAACCATTTCTGAGGGCAGATTTTTTTTAAGAAATGCCCTCAGAAATTCAGGATGGAGCATCTAAATCTATTCCCTGCTGTGCTAGCTTTCCAGTTGCGGGGAGTTTTGAAAATGCCATCACAGAAAACCTCCAGAATCTGAAAGATTTGGCCTTGGGGTGAATTCTTGGCAAGAAAAAAGAGAAGGTTAAACCCATTTCAAAAGTATTTAAACCAATTCCCCAATTCAGGTTGTCCTTGACTTACAACCATTCAATAAGTGGCCGTTTGAAGTTACCACAGCCCTGAAAATAGTGGCTCATGGTGGCCATTTTTCACACATTCGCTTAACCACTGTGACAAAAAGGTCATAAAATGGGGCAAAACTCAACAACTGCCTCACGTAACAATTGCCTCACTTAACAACCTAACAACTGTGGTTGTAAGTCGAGGACCACCTGTACGAACCGAGGCTGGTCCATCGGACGCAGATTTCACGCTTTTCCATAATAAATCTTGAGTTTCTGATTAGACGTCACTGCATCCTTTGTTGAATTAGCAACAGCTATATCCGTGATGGCGAACCGATGGCACGTGTGCCACAGGTGACACGCACAACCATATTTGCCGGTATGGCAGCTCTCAGCTCTGGCGTGCATGCAAATGCTGACCAGCTGGTTTTTGGCCTTCTGGAGGGCCGGGGGAGGCTGTTTTCACCCTCCCCAGGCTTCAGGAGAGCCTCGGGAGCCTGGGGATGGCGAAAATTCCATGACCTGTCAAAACCGCGGTCCACTAAAGCGCGCCTGATCAAAGCGCGTATGTGACGTCATCAGCAGCGCAACAAATAAAATTAAAAATAAATTAAATTAAAATTAAATTAAAGCAAGCCGATTCACATAAAGGTAAGGGTTAGGTTTAGGGTTAGGGTTAGGGTTAGGGAGGGGATAGGTTAAGGGTTAGGGTTAGGTTTAGGGTTAGGTTAAGCGTTAGGGTTAGGTTAAGGGTTAGCGTTAGGTTTAGCGTTAGGTTAAGGGTTAGGGTTAGGGTTAGGTTTAGGGTTACGTTAAGCGTTAGGGTTAGGTTAAGGGTTAGCGTTAGGTTTAGCATT